AGCAAAATGCAGCTTTAGGGTTTAGGGTTGGAGGATCAGGGGGACTGAGTAAGTAGGCTAATAACCCCTATACCTCATATAGTAACCCTAGATATCCCCATTATTAACCTACTTACTAAGTGCCCCTCCAAGTAGGGTTTAGGGATTCAGTTCTCGTGGTGGGAACACATGAGCCTTCGTCTAAACTCCTAGTATCCCCCTTAATAATCCCAATAAGGCTCCCCTGTATAATCCCCTGTATAGCCCCATTTGTGCATCCCATTTTCCTCTACTGCAAGTACCGCTAGCTAGGAACATTCTATTCAGGCGACAGGATGCTTGCCCTGAATGTAAGCAGAGTAGTTGATAATTTACGTGAACCAAGGACTCCCGGTAGTGCGCGGCCCGTTGATATCCAGCAGTGAAGTGCAGTGGGTTTTGTTGGAGGTTCTGCCTGTAGGGCTCCCTAACATTGGCTGTTCTGAATGAGCAGTTCCCGGCAGTTGATGCGGAAAAAATTCTACGAGGCTGAAACCTAAAGAAAACCCCCTTACGTAAAACACGAAATCACAAGAGGGAGGGGGGGGGGAAGTTCAGAAACATGAGCAGCCCAGTGCTTGCCCCAGCTAGTTTGATGCTTAGGCTTGTGAAGCTTAAATGTGCTCAGTATGAACATTCAGCGCTGCAAACAGCACGTGAGGCTCAAGTTAGGGCCTTGGTCCATTTAGAGTACAGTATGATTCCAGTAAGCAGGGTCGACTGGCGCCATAATTGTAAACCCTTGTAGAATATATTCCTTGGGTCTCTAGGGTACAGATCGCGGCCCCATTGCCAAATTCCTTTAAGCCTTAAGCATTGCCCAAAAGAGCATATAGCAAACCGCCAGACACCTGGTTTTATGGACAAGATCCTTCACCCTATGCACCTCAAACGCTGGGAATTCTGATAGTATATAGATTACACCTTATAGACCTCCGAAAACTTTGGCAGCTGCAGTAGGGCTTGTGGTAGTATACTACATTACCATACTTATGGGACCCATAACTCTATCTATATATATATATAAAAGCTAGGGCTAATGGTAGTCTACTACCACCCCAAACCTTAAACCCTATCGGGGAAAGCAGGATTTGGCCAACAATCGTTCTGTAAAAAGCAGAGAGCCATCTGGCTTCGACCATGCGTGGACGGATGTTGCACAAATTTCGGGGCTCATGGTCTGGTGCCATCCAATGACATGAGCTTAGTACAGTTAAAGGTGGCCCATCAAGCGAGATGGGCTCCCATTTGGAGCCGTTTACCTTGAATTGGCACCCCATCACGATGTTAGGATCACCATGGGTCACCATTGGCAGTTGGCTTTACAGCTTTACGTGATCATTGATTTTATGTCATGTTACTTTCCATTTTCCAAGCGACCCACCGACCACCCCCGGGCATGACGAAAGGGAAGCAAGATAGCCTGTTGCCTGCTTCTTCCCATGAACCATGCAGGGCATGGGGGGTGGCGTTTTGCTCATAGAGACGGGGGGAAATTGCGTCTACAGGCAACAGGGGGGTAGGCACCTACATCAACACCTACACCATAAACAAGTCCCGCAGGCCGGGACGGCAGGTCACAGCGGGAGATTTGTTCATGGATGGCCTGCCCCCAAGAAAATCTCAGCGGACCACTGGACCATGGATTGTAAATATACACGCTTCAATGTTAACAGCTAACTCCACCGTAGCTGGGGATTTGCATGATTCGCCCGAGCGTATGCTTGGAGACCGCCTGCCCATAATTGTTAACCCTCGAAGCCTTGCAAGCACTACTCAAAAAGCTTGGTCGATGAGGTTTGCTCTGTCTCTCCTCCGCTGAGTTCTGCGGTGCTCCGATGTTTTCCAGCTCTGGCACCGATCTTGGGCACCGTCTTGGCACCATGCAATTTTTTCTGAAGATGTGCGCCAGCACTATCGGGCAGCAACTGTGGAAAATGTCCGTGCAGCTTTGCGGTTATAACCCTTGGGCAGCACGTTGGACATGCCCTGAATGAATGTTGTGGAGCAAGTTTTGATTCGAGACACGAAATTGTACAAGACAAAAATTGGGCCACAGACGAGGGACGCCTCTGCAGCCGGAAACAGGCAAGACCAAAAAAAGGGCCAGGGTGTTTTAGACGTCGCCGGTGCTCAAGCATCCGCTACTTGTTTTTCGTGTTGTGCAAGGGGCAAACGCTACAGACAGTTGATTTCGTTGTCTTGCAAATACATGTGTGGACTGCTTACATTAGGCAAAAGCACAACTTCGAAATTGCATGGTGTGCCAAGTGCCGAACATTGGAATCACAAGCTTCAGGAAAGTGGCACGTCAAGTGGAACCTGTCCAAAAACATGCCATCGTAGAACATGTTTACGAAGCATATGCACTGCAACCGGCAGTGAGTGGACTTTGATCAAAGACAAATTGCAGCTTGCAGTCAGCCATGGCATATTCATCGCTGGCGCAGGGGCTGCATGATTTGGAGTCCGAGATGCAGGATGCATTCAATCGTATTCAGAATCATTTGAATGAGCTGCGCCAAGCCCATGCGCCTGACATGTCCAGCGAAAAAGCAATTGTGGGGAAGGAATCTGCACAGCACAACATGCGACCGAGCCAAGACTTGCTGGAGGATTGGCTGTTGAAAGATGATGTAACTGGATCAATGTTAGGGATCCTTTATACTTTTTGGGGTCTGGGGTTCCCTATATTTCTGTAAAAAGGATCCTTTTTTCGCCTAGGGTAATGTGGGCTAAGGTAATGTCTATTCCAAATGCAGAGCCATGCAAGCTGTCCGGCGACGCGTTGCAGCTTTCTGCTGAGATGCTGGGCGCCAATGCCCGTTCTTACTTGCGGCTGAACTCACACCTTATGGAGCTTTCTGTGAAGGCTGCAGAATCTGTCGACGTTTTCAAAAAGGAGCGGATGAGGACAATGAGCGTGTCACCGGAAGTCAGTGTAAGTCCAAAGACCACCAGGAAGAACATTAGGAATGTAGCTGCCGCACTCAGCACCGAGCTCGAGAAGTTCCAGTCAATTCTGAAAGTTCTTCCTCCCAATTCCCCTTTTCGGCTTTTCTGGGATCTGTTTGGCATCTTCTTGATTGTGCTTGATGCCTTCCTGCTTCCTTTGTGCATGGCTTGGGGCTGGGAAATCTCGCCGCTGCTGCCCGAGTCGCCGCGGTTTTCTGACTACGTGCTACAGGTTTTTGCGCTTACATCTTTGATTTTCTGGCCCTTGATGTCCTGATAAACTTCAATACTGCCTTCTACACACGTGGCCAAGTGGAGTCTCGCCGATGGGCCATAGCCAAGCGTTATGCGCAAACTTGGCTGGTGTTTGATGTATGCGTCATCAGCATAGACTATCTTGCAGGCCTCTTGGTGCAGGCTTGTGGGTGAGCGTTTGCACAACAGCAAAGTCCCATGAACATGTTCAGCAACTTCATGAACGACGCCGCGCATGTGCATGTTAGTCTAACATGGCCACCGTATTTGAAGTTAATGCTTGGTTTCAGTTTGCTAGCCCCATGCAAGCTGACAGGCAACGGAACAGTCATCCACCGATTTCTTGCAGCCCTTGCGATCTGCTCGTTATTTGCGAATTATGCGGACGATTCGCATCCTGAGGATTGTGAAAGCAGGAAAGATCAACGTTCTGTGGGAAAACCTTGTCATATCGATGGGACGGCAGTGGTTGATCCTATCCTTCACCGTGGGGAAGATGCTCCTGGTGATCGGCTGTGTTGCACACATCCTGGCCTGCATTTGGTATGCGCTTGGTGACACGGTGTCCGGTGCAACCGACAAAAGCAGCTGGCTGGAAATTGCCGGCGTCCGGCAATCACCTTTCCCGACCCAGTACATCCATTCCTTATCCTGGATTCTGTTAACACCTTCTCCACCGCCCTTGACGCCTGACAGCAGTGTTGAGCACACAGCGGTCAGTCCCTCAGAAGTTTCCTGCCGTAGTTTCATAAAGTATGTCCAAGCACCTGCTGAACACCTATGCCCTCCCCGAAATTGCTGCCCTCCATACCCGTGGCATTTGCAATGCTTCGTTTCTAGCAGTCTAGCACTTCCTGCAAACAGCGTGTACTTGTGCCGCGGTTGGACAACTGTTAAACATGCAAGGTACATGGGCCACACGTTCGTGTTTGAGCCAATGCCAGTTCTAGCATGTTAGGAGTCCGAGCGGCCCAAACCACTGGAAAGCCTATACCGCTTGATGCAGCACGCGGCACATCCGTAAGTATGCCAGCAGATGGAAGCAGCAGCCACCGGGGCGGCCGCTGCCATTGCCACCAGCCATGCCATGACCACCACCGCCAAATCTGTCACCGCTAATTATTTGTACCACGAACGCCCCTAGCACTGATAACCGTCTGATTAGGCATGGCAGCAGAATCCTCTGTGGAAGTGCAGACGTTTGACGAAATTGTCAGCCAAGCACATGTACTCGGCAAATTGTGACCAAGCTACAGTCACAAGTTGGCTTACCCTTGAGGTTCTGAAACTACCAGAAATCGTGAGCTTGTAGTAGTGGCGTAAAGGCCGTCGTCCATGATGCGGCAGAGGACTTGCCTGAATACTAACTGCGGATGAGGTTCTGGCGCTCTTTGTCACCACCGTATTGGTCATTGGCTCAGCACTTTCTGTGCTTACTGGCACATTGAATGAAATTCGCCAGGTGAACAGTGAGCGCAGCAAGAAGTGCCGTGAGTTGCGCATTTTCCTGCAGAACCGAGCCGTGCCGACCGAATTGATGATGAGAGTCATGAGCTATGCCGACTACAAGATGACAAGGCATTCACCCATTGCCTATGATACCACTTTGATTTCACCTATGCTGGAAGCAGAACTGGCTACGTCCCAGTTTGGTGCTGTTCTGAGCAGCCATCCATTGCTCGATTTCATGTCTTCAATGTACCCATTGGTCTTTGCAGAGTGTTGCCGTGGGCTGAAGAAACACTTTTTTTGCGAGGGGGAGGCCGTCTTCAGTGAGGGGTCGTTGGCAGAGAACATGTATATGAGCAGCCACGGCAAATTTAAGATCATTGCCGAGTCCTTTGTCGATGATGAGGTGTCCTTTGAAGATGACAACCAATACTTCGCAGAAATCTCACTCTACGTGGAGGCTGTCATGCATGGGTACAGTCTGCACACCGAATCTTTTTCAGAAGTCTTTTCACTAACGCCAGCAGACTTTGCCAGCGTGCTCGTCCATTCGCCCGTGTGCGCGACTATGGTCATTGAGTATGCTAACGAGTATATCATCCGATATTCTGCCGTGCCAGCAACTTCTCATTCCAATATTTGGCACACGATAGAGCGAGAGCAGGATTGTGCCAAAGCAGCTTGCGAAAGCAATTCATTCTACTTGGAGGCTTGGATCTGTCGTATCTCCAACACCCTGAACTTAAAACAATTACCAGCAAAACGCAGCTGCTGACCACTCCACAGGTTTCTGAGGCAGGCCCCACAGAAGAGCTTCAGGCAGAGCCCCCAGAGCCAGCTCAACTCCGCGGAGACACTCCAGGAGCTGGTTTGACCCCTATGGACTGCGCAGCTGAAATTTTGTAACACAATGTTCTTCTTGTGTATTCTTTGGAAGGAGGCAAGGGGTCTGGCATTGTTTCATGTGATTGCGCAGCTGACCCAGGTAACACTGATTGTTCACGGCGAAGAAGGTGCGGAGGACATACTGGCAAGCTTGCGTGAAGCCTTCGTCGAGCTTGATCCGGAGTATGGGCTGCCTGCGCGATTTTCTGATGCAAAGGACACGCAGGGGCCTTGATACGCGGTTGATAGAAGTTGTTTGGAGCGTCGCCCCTCTAGAAAAGGGTTTGCGATGACAGGAGCAAGGACGAGCCGAGTCGGCGATCCTAAGCCTGGTTGCGATTGCACGTGCTGACTACGATATGCACCCCGGTGGAGGGATGTAAAGATGTCCTGTAACGTCTTTCACAAGTCATGTGTTTGCAGCCATGTGGTTAAATGAGAGCCTGCGTCCTTGGCACGCAGCTTCAGTCGTCATGTGAGCCATTGTCTAAACTCCTAGTATCCCCCTTAATAACCCCTATAGTAGTCCCCTATATAATCCCCTATATACCCCCCTGTAAGGAGTTTAGATTATGGCTCATGTTGTTTTTGGGATTGCTTGGGTCTCAGGTACATCGCAGCGCAACCTCCGCAAGCCTGCCTTACGAGCTCGCAATGGCAGAGTCTCTGGGTTGCTGTTAAGGAACTTAAATTAAGTTACTATATTATCCACCATAATGGAGAATCAAATGGAAAAGAAGATGGAAAATGAAATGGAAACTGGGGGAATATATGGATTAAGGACCTTAAATTAAGTTGCCATAATGGGTATATATATATATAGTAAATAATAGGGTTTCCCCAATATAGTAACTTAATTTAAGTTCCTTAACAGCAACCCAGGTCTCCGGGATCTCTTTTCATGGATCGCCCCTAGCGATGAGAAGCTGTTGGCGGTGATTTTCCTCCTGGCAGTGAAGGGCATTAGCAAGTTCAGGTGAGGATGCTTCAACACGGGAACCCCAATGTAGACCCCAAAACACACTAATCATTCTAACCCGTACGTATTATGGGGACGCCCGTTATGATACCCCTAATGTTGGGAAACCCCCATATGTAACAGGGGTACATGTCAGGGGCCTCTGTATTAGGATCAGCTTCTTGGCTGAAAGCCACCTGGATAGTGGCTCCTTGTTTCCAAGGACAATTGAAAACAGGACCACATTAAGGAAAGGGGGTGTGAGTTGAACCCTTAAAACATGCTTAATCCTTGAAAAAGCCCAGCCTATAAGCAATCCCTATGTACACCCTAAAGGCTTGGATAATCCCTATAGTAAGAAATCTCTAAAACGCTCTTTCGACTTTGCCAGGTCCCTAACTCGCCAGCTACCACCTGGCCATCAGCGACAGGAGAAGGCGACGCAAGATGCAAGTTTCCAAAAGTTAGAGGTCCGTTTAAAGGGATGTGTGAGATTTTAGTAAGGTTTAGGGTTTCCAAACATTAAGAGTACCATTTTGGATCTCCATAATAAGGATTCCAGTATATAGTTTCTGCCTTTCTGCTGGAAATGCGTAGTCGCTTCTCAAAGAGGCGATGAACTTCATACTTGATGCCTTCCCAGCAGCAGTTCCGTCTGCAGCAAGCTTGGGCAGCAACGTGAAGGGGTTGGTCCGAAACTTATTGAAGATGCAGGAAACTTTCAGCTTCGCTCAGATGCTGCAGGGGGAGAATGTGCCTGCCAACCTAAGGGACCTTACGCAAGCCATCCGACCACATGGAGGGGAAGAGCTGTTGAAGTTCTATGTCTTGTACCTTCTTGGATTCATGAGTGGCCTTGCCGGTGGTAAAGGATCACGATTTATGACCCGAAGCAATGCAAGGACAACCCTTCTGGGTTTGGCTATGCTCCAACATGTTCTGGAGCAAGAATCAGCTCCCCTGTATCTGGGCTGCTGTTACGGGACCTAGTTTAGGTTACCATAATGGGGTTATGCAGCAAATAATACAGTAGGGGCCCTTATTATTGAGCTTTCATTTAAGTTCCTCCTCAGCAGCCCAGGTATTGGACCTACATTCACCGCCGCGGGCTTGAACTTGGCAGGCAGGCTGAGGAGCCAGCAGATCTGGCTTTGTTGCGACTAGCTTGCAACTGTCGGGCACAGACGGCCGAAGATGTAGCTGACCTCCAAGACGCATGGGATCAGCTTACAACATCGGAGCAGGCAGATTTGACCAAACACTTCCTGGCGGACGGCATCACCATGCAGGCAGTGGTTTGTGAGTTCCTTCCCCTGTGCTTGGAGCGAGCTAGGTCGAATCCTTTCGTCACGGTGGCAGCGCTCTTGCAGGTTCTGGTTGAGCTTTTGAGAGCAGTTCGATCGGCTGCACCCGGAAGCCAAAAGATTGTCACTGTAGACCTTGGAGACCTAGCAGCTTTGCAGCACTTAAGGTATTTCTACCATGCGCAGGATGCACACCATGGCACACCTTCTGCCTTGAGATCTAGCACAGGCCCTTGAGCTGTGTAGGCACAATCAATATGGTGTTCGAAGATCTTGCCAGATCTCTTGGGCCATGGAAGTTTTTTCATATATAATGTTGTCGTCATTCGAATCGAACGTGTGACTCCAGACTCCCAGGCAGCTTTCATTCTGATGGTGCAGAACAGCTATATCTTTGCGACATGCCTCTCCCGCGCCACGCTGACGTTGAGGGAAGAGAGGTTCTACGTGGATGTGTCACAGGAAAATTGGCGTAGGGTGCGTGAACCTGCTACAGACGTGGCGTTGCTGGCAACATCCGTACGTGAGCTGGTGCAGAAGTCAAGAAAGTTGGATGATGCGAAGAAGACACCGCAGCAGGTCCTGGTGAAGTGCGACTTCTAAGCCTCTCCTTGTTGTGAGGCCATATTGGGGTAATATTGGGGTAATGGAAAAGAACATGGAAACTACTACAGTATATTGGGGTTATTTTGGGGTAATATTGGGATAATATTTGGATAATATTGGGGTAATGGAAAAGAAAATTGAAGCTACTATCATTTTGTTCTCTCTCTTCTCCTTCTCGCTCTCTCTCGCTCTCTCTCGTCTTAATCCTCCTCTATCCTCCTCAGCGCCTAACCTTATTGCCTCGAATTTTTTGTTGCTTCACGCGAAGATCTGCTTTATGGAAGGAATGTCATCCAAACTTGCAGAACTTCTCTGAAGTTTTCCATGCCTGAGTGGAGCTCTGCATGACCTGCGGGTCACCAAAGGAGGCTCGCAGCCAAACAGGATCTCTTTCAACCTGGAACGTCCGGTCTGCCAAGCAGATGGGATAGTACGGAATCAAATTCTGCAAATGCACGGCATGACGCTGGCAGCAGAAGCTGAGTTGTTGAAAGTCGCTGCGTTTCTGGGGTCTCATGCAGTAACCCTATACTTCCGAACATGTTCAGAAGCTTCTGAGCCTGCATGACCTACACGGTACCTGCTCGATCCAGCTTGCCCGAATACCTAGGCAGCATCAACGTTATGGCAATATAGGCTAAGAGGAAGCACTTGCGTAGGAGAACTAGAGATTTCAGACTTGAAGGATAAGAAGTGGGAGTGCAGGAGGGGCTGCGATGCTGTCGCCTCTTTCCTGCAGGGTAGAGCGGTAGAGGCATTATTGCTTGGCAGCAACCTTCAGCCAGACTTGGCCATCAGTATGCTGGGTAGTGCAAGTACGATATCGCCTGGCACAGGTGCGCATTTTCTCGGTGTTGTGTGTGTGGTCGCCTTCATGGCAGCAAGCAAGAACAGCAACAACAGCAACAACATCAACAGCAACAGCAGCAACAACAGCAGCAGCCGCACCACCACCACCACCACCACCACCACCACCACCACAACAACCACTGTAAAGCAGTAA